AGAGAGAGAAAAGAGAAAAGAGAGAAAAGAGAGAAAAGAGAGAAAAGAGAGAAAAGAGAAAGAGTATTTGAGAGAGAGAATAAGACCGAGTGCTGAGTAAACCCTCAGCCTCCCAGGAGCAAACACATGGTCTGAGCCTGGAGGAGGACTGAAACTCTCAGCAGCCTCCATTCACTGAATCATCATTACAGTTACAAACACGTCATAGTCAAACCGGGGCAAAAAAATTGGCTAAAAGACATGTTACACTTGGTTTTCATCTGTTTCGAGAGGAAATCTGAATCATTTGATTCAAGCTCACTAAATGTCGACTATTCCAGATATTTGAGACAATTTTCTCCCAAGTCTCATTGCTGCAGGTTTCCATGGTTATCCTCCTCAGGTTTGGCCATCTGCATCATTCTGGCAAAAAATAACCTGCTAATGACTCCAGTGTTAGCATTGAAAAAGTCATGCATTGATATTAAAACACTGATATTAAAAAGGGGCTAAAAAAGTGTGTAAAATGTGTAAAATGTGTAATTACTCTGGGATCACTGCTGATCTTTGTGAGTGTACAGAGGAGGATAATATTCAGAGCCATGACAGAGATAAGAGCAGAAATCATTTTAGTATTGCTAAGCCAGTAATTCATTTTGTCTTTTATTTAGAAGGTTTGTTTTTAATAAAAGGATATAAATTGTTCTCTGAATTTAGTTATTTAAATAATTATCAAATAATTTAAAGCTGCTATAATAAATATTCTTTTATAAACACTGGATCAAATGTAATGTAAAAGGTGTCACTTGTAGGGACAAACCCACAGAGAAACACCCAACTCTGCAGTTCCCCTAATGGATCAATGATTGCTGCTTAATCTTAAAGCTGCTTTAATTGATTTTTATAGCCATTTGGATGCAGCAGCACACAATATTGACATACAATCAGTACAGGTGAGCTCAACAAACAGTTGCTATTTAACACATCCATAGCAACATTAGCATTCATTTGAAGTCGTGTTTTTCTGTCCAACAGATGATTGCTTGTCCAATATTCACTGTTCTCTTTGCTCTGTTTTGATTTCCAACAACTCCTGAGGGAAATATATGACTCTTTATGTGCGAAATGCTCAACTGTGTTTACTGGTTAGCTGCTAACTGCCTGCTGTTTGGTGCTGAACAAGTTTGGGTACAGTGGCTTCATTGGGGGCTTTTTCACTGCTGCTTGCAATGAAACTGAAAAGAACTTTATAACATCTTTCTTTTGGTCCACTGAGCGACTTCTTTCACATTTGACCACTTTGCAGCTTTAACTTATTCCTTAAAATTAAAGTTTAACTGCACCCTTCAATGCTGCTGGCTCCCTCCCTCTCAGCAAATTTAAAAAAGACCCGCAAAGAGCATCCACGGTAAATTTCATGACATAAAGTCATCAACGGTCGACTCTGTGTCAGCATTGGTTTGCAAGGTTCAAGGTGATTTAAAAACAGCAGATAGTGTGTTGAGCCATTTTCAACCCATGAAATGCTGATTTTCATAAATTTAATAAGAAGGTACATTTTACAGTCTAAGTCAGTATAATTTAGTTAACAGCTCGAAAAACTGTTTGTTTAACTGTGGAACACTTTAATAATTTGTACCCTGACGTTGATAATTGCTGAAACTGCTATTACTCAGTTGCCTTCATTTACGTTATTGTAGAACATCGGAGAGAAGGAGATCCTGAACCACATCAAACTTGAAAAGATTAGAATTTAATTTACAGAAGCAAATCCTTTGACAACACCTGGGATATCTGAATAAAGCTGCAATCCACCCCAATTATTATGAATTCAATTATTTATTGTTTTATTTTATGTTTCAATAGTGTCTGATGAATGTACTTTTTCCTTCTTACTTAAAGCCACAGTACATAACTTTTATAAAAATAACTTTTTGATTTGTTGAAACTTTGACTATATTCTGACAGTAGAACATGAGACAGATAATGTGTGAATAAATCAGGTTCCTCTAGTGCTCCTATAGTGGCATCTGCCTGAATGAAAACTGATAAGAGCCAAGAGAGATAGTTCAGTCAGACAACTCACATTTGAAATGTTTATTAAATCAGTATATCATATTTAGATTTTGGCGACCTCATTTGTGCAGCACTCCCCAATATCTCTATGTAAA